GATGTTCTTTCCACTTCTGAATTATGGCCCCAACAGTGCTCACTGGAACCTTCAGAAGTTTCTTTGTATGTATGGATTACTTGGGTTGTTACCAACATCTGGTGAAAATTTCATGTCATTAGCACCTCTAGTAATATATTTACTGAGAAAAATGGTGACGTGTTCAATACTTATTTTACCTGCTGTACACACATACATACATCCTTCCATCCACACCATGTACATCCACAAAGCCTCATAGAGACAAAAGAGACACAACCATTTACAGTTTCACTCATAAGTTAACATAAAGACTCAGGCGTTCTCGAAAGCCTTGCAAAAACCTTCCTTGATGGAAACATATAAATGACTGCATTGCTTGATGAGATCATGTGGCAGCAAAAGTTTGTTTTTCATGCCAAACATGTAGACCCCTGGGACTGTGTGACTGTGCAGCTAAATGGTTTCCTCAGTTTGGTTTAATTACAATTCAGTTTAATTAAAAAACACCAAATCATCTCTGGGCACTTAACTCTGGAAGGTTTAAATCTTTCAGATAAAGAGAGAAAACAGAGTTTCTGTCTGAGCTATCACATGATGCCATGAAGATGTACGCAGAGAATTAAAACGATTTGTTTTAACGTTGTTAAAATAGAACCTTATACCTCATCTCTTTGTGTGTTATGTGCGACTATATGACATGCGACATGTACACAAGCTTAAGTGTCACTATTAAAGGACTCACTTTTGGCGGTGCTAATTTGCATGTGAATGAAGCTGAATTCTGTTATTGCGCACCTTGAATAATTCATCAGCCCAATGACCTTGCAGAGAGTCACCTACACCTGAAAAATCACAGCTCGTTAAGAGTCAGACTCAAAGGAAAGACTGACCTGGAAGAACAATAGAGTATTCCTGTATGTCAAAACACTAAATGTTTGTACATATTTTATACCTTTCTTTTACTTCTGCTTGCTATTATGAGATGTTGCTATCATTATCCTTGTTCTTTTCTGCGTCTTTGTAGCATCACGTCCAGTGGATAGTGAGTTGTGTTTGGGTATCCCTCCAAATACCACACAGTTGTGCCAAATAAGCTGTCCTGTTGAATGTGAGGTGTCTTCATGGAGCGCCTGGGGTCCCTGCACCTACGAAAACTGTCAAGACCAGACCACCAAGAAAGGTGAGAATTTGTCTTGAGGATGACAATGTCACTATGTTGTTAACATTTTTTGGTGCTAATTTATCAGTTTATTATTACATGTTTGTCAAGATTATAAGAATTAATTATTTGAATTAAACCAGTGGAAAAAAATGGCAACAACAAGAAGATTTGACAAAAATAACCAGATATTAGAACATAAATCAAAACAAAAAACATGACTTACACAAAGATAAAACTGGTTTGTAAAGTTTTAGTAATGCCTAAAACAAATGAAGCTGAAAAATTAATCTTATCATTTAACATTCTGTTTTTATTTTAGTCTTTTTGCCTGTTTTAAGAAAATCAGAGTCAGGGAGTGAGACACGTGGTTACCATGATAACTGAGCCACTCGCAACAGCTTTACCATTAATTTTAATCTGAGTTCCCTTTACACTTCATACTCAGTTTATTTCAAAATGTTTACATTGTGTAAAGTTAGATTATTACAAAAATAATCAAATTAGTTTTGTACTTTAGAGAAGAAAGTTGGTACAAGTTGGTATATTTCTAGGCTGCGTCACGACCTCCAATTTAGATCTTTAAATGAAGTTAGGGAGTAGCCTGAAAACACAATGAGGCAAAATATTCAGCTCTCTTTATGTTCTAAAAAGGAACACTAGGTGTGGGATTTTTTAAGTAGCTGACATGAATTCTGTTATAACTGAGAGGGCTGAGAAGTAAAGAAAAAAGCATCTTGAGGATCCAAATGTGGTATAACCTTTCTTTGTCCAAAGGAAAATAAAACAAAGGTCGTTGGGTTTGGCAAAACTGACCTACTGGTAGGATTTAACAGTGCGGTTGGCTGTTTGGATTTTTATTGTTGCTTTATTAGGAATCTTGGAGTTCTTTTAGACAATAATTTTAAATTTGACAGGCTCAGCACAGTGATCCAGTCTAGTTTTTATCATTTAAAGCTCATCAGCAAAGTCAAGCCTTATCTTCCACTTGATACCCTTGAGAGGGTTATTCATGCTTTTATTTTCTCCAGACTGGATTATTGCAATCCCCTCTACAGTGGGATTGACCAGTCTCTGCTCCACCGTCTTCAGTTGGTTCAGAATTCTGCTGCTCGTTTGTTGACGGGGACCAAACGGTCTGAGCACATTGGGCCTCATGCAAGAACATGTTCGTATTTTTATCCTAAATTTCTCTTACTTTTGTTCGTACAAAGGGTTCGTACGAACATGTCACGTCAGATTCAACAAACTCTTCTATCTTCAGGAAAAGTGTGTAAA